CATCATATTATTAAGCATTATCTATTTTAAGTTGATGAACCATTGGTTTTCCACTAAAAAAATTGAGTAAATTATCCACACATATTTGTGCCATTTGATGACGTGCATATTCATCAGCACTACCAATATGTGGAAATATCGTACAGTTCTCAAGTGTTAAAAGAGGATGATCTGTAGGCAATGGTTCAGGTACAGTAACATCCAAACCTATAGATAATTATAAATATTATACTAAAGGATGGTTGAAAAGTTTTAGACCCTCTCAGTAAATTGATGACAAACATAAATATGATTAATTGATGGAAATATATAATTTTACAGAAGAAGATTCGAGCTATCATCTAAAAAAACACTTCGAAATGTATAAATGTAGCACAATATTATTGTCATCATACAGTTTTCCAGAAAGCTTGAAAAAAAAAGTTCTATAATAGTCGTGTTGTTTTTTCTGCTGACAGAGATTTTTTTATCAGATTTCTCATTCAAATGGAATAATCTATAACATCTCATTATAGAATAGTCTTCATTGTATTTATATAAATGAAATCAAGCAAGAATATGTTCTATGCAATCAATGTGAACATTTGCGTAGTATTAAATCATCTTTTAGTACTAATTCACTAAGTATAGTCGTAATTATCAAAATAACAAAAAAAAACAACAGTTTTCAATGCTGAAATAAGTATCAATCAGTTTTATGCATCTTGAAAAAATGAACCATCTATTCCAGATTGAGTTGAGCAGAATATTAAAATGAATTATGATGAATTTGCAGTACATGACCGCTAAATATTCAAAATTTTAAAAATCTTGCACAAAAAAATTTTTAATGTTCATCAATACTTAACTATAAACAGCTGCAGACTAGAACACATCAAGTCCGAGTCTAAAAGTCTTGAGTTGACAGGATCCAGGACCAAAAAAATATTATCGGCCTGTTCCGTTTCCAAAAATTCTTGGACCCGCAGCTCTCTAACTGATAGTCTTATTTTATGAAGTTTACTATTTACAATTTATTCTCTAATATACCAACTGCTTCAATTTATCTTTCCAACAACCTCTATTAAAACCACCTCCAGTATTCATTTCAAAGTCAAATAGATGACATATGATCAATAGAAAATTTATGAGATATTCTTCCACGAGACTTATGTAAATATTAATATGTTAAATAAAAAATAAATCATATATGAGACAATTTCAGTGTAGAAAAATATCAGAAAAGGATTAACACTATTCAAAAATGGTTAAAGACAATCAGCAGAAAACAAGATCAACACATCACTAAATTTGATTATCGAGATACATATAAACTGTCAATCTAATAAACTTATAAATCATTTAGATTTTTGAAGAAATTTTTTTTTGCTTGAAAAAACATAATATCAAAATATTCACTAAAGATTAGTAAAATAACCAAAACATTGTACCACATTTATGCCATAGATTTTCATCACAGTTGACAAACTTCCACGCCACCACGATCATCTATATTGTATGCATTTCGAAGTATCGTGTTTTTCAATTATTAGCTCTAATCTTGCTTTACAAAACTACACACTTCGATCAATTAAATATATAAAAATTTATCATAGACATCATCGATGTACTGAGAGAGGTCAAAATTTTTCGACTATTCTTTATTAATAAAAGATTCTTTACCTGCTGCTCGAATTTGACCATTTTTTAATGCATCATAAAGTGCATCTTGATCAACAATACCTCCCCGTGAAATATTTATTAAAATTGCATCATTTTTCATTTGTTCAAATGCTTTTTTATTAAACATATTTGTTGTTTCTTCATTTAATGCACATGCAATAATAACAAAATCAGATTCATGTAATAATTCTTCAAATTGAACAAATTTAAATAATTTTTTATCACTATCAGAATCAAAATGTTTTTCACGTGTACCACTATAAAGTATACGTTGAATAGAAAATGGTTGCAAACGACGTGCAATTGCTAAACCAATACGACCTAAACCAACAATACCAATTGTTGAATTAATTAAAGGTTTACCACACATCCACATTATATTTGATGATGTACCCCATTCACCATTCTATTTAAAAGTTATCAATGAAAACAAAAATAAAAATTAATCTTCCTTGTTATGATGTCTTACACGAACTGTTCGCATCGCTTCAGTAATCCTTCTTGATGTTGCTAATAATAATGTAATAGCTAAATCAGCTGTTGTATCTGTTAATACACCTAAGCATTTGAAAATATGATTTAATAATCTATTTTAAAATGATGATTATTCTATTCTACCTGGTGTATATCCAATAGGTATACCTCTTTTTTCACATTCTTTTATATCAATGTGGTTATATCCAACTGAAAATGTGGCTAACATTTTAAGTTTATCACCTGCTGCCGATATTATTTCTTTATCAATTTTTGTTCCTCCTGAAAAGAGTATTGCATCAGGTGTATGAGCACGAATACGAGATAAAATTTGTTCATGAGATAAACGTGCCGGTATATCTTGATAATCCAAGTCAAATACACGTTCAAGTGAATGAATAAACTGCGAAGGCATTTGAAAAGTTATAAATAGATGTGGTCGAGTAGTAGATGTCATTGTCTAAATATAAACAATTGTTTCTATTTCAAGTATATTTTTTACACATAAAAATTGTGTTTTTTTCGTTTTTATGAACAAGAAAAAAGACAAATGCAAAAACAAGAAGAAAAAAAGAATGTCAAGACAAGAAGAGTTAATATTAAGCATTTGTCATCGGTTTAAATCGTTCACTGCGTTTAAGTTTTTGTTACTAAAGAATACCACAATTTTGTAAATTGAATAATAGAAAAAATTATATTCATATTCAATGTATTTGTTTTAGCTGCTTGAGATATACCACCAAAACGTTGAGCTCTTTTTTTCTAATAGTATCAGATAAAATTCGAGTAGTTGATGCAGATTTTCAAGCAGTATTATTAATATTATTAGTCTAAAATATAGAATATTTGAAAATAATAATTTATAAATTTCATTGTTTGAAAGAGTAAAGCTCTGAACAAAAATGAAATTGATATTGAGACTGGAGAACATCACAGGACGGAAGATCTCAAGGATAATATTTAAGTCCTGTAGGTTATTCAAGTCATCTAATTGATCATGATCTAATGACGTTCTGACTTAATAGTGAACTCGTCGTAATTTTCTATTATTATTAATAGTAGTCAGAAGAATATATGTCATATCAACGACTAGTTCTTCGATGGAAATATTATTTAGCTCATGAGGAAACCTCTTCAGGTGTGAAAACGCTTTTTCAATCGAAACAATGTGTATTTGAAGAGTGGTAGTGAGTAAAAGAAAAATGTTGAATGGTTTGGTTTTCTGGATATTCGTTCTTCAGATATCAAAACTTTACTGAGTTTTTCAATAAAAAGCTGTGATTCCTCTCAAATCATGTGGAAAATCGACTTTTGAGTTTCGTCTTGAAATTTTTGCAGGGACATAAGTCTTAATGAGATTAATTGATTGTGGAAGTTTTATTTTTTTCTAGTATTTCCTTTCTAAAGACGTAAATTTACTTTTACACATAGGAGAATCTCGAATATTGAATCATTGAGGATAGGAAATAACTACTAGAAAATTTACAAGTTGCACAATCAACTAATCTCATTGAGAACTTTATTCTTGGAAAATTTGAAGTCGAGACTCGAAAGTGAATTTTCCACATGATCTGAGAGTGACCATAGATTTTTGTTGACAAACTTAGTAAAATTACGATATTCCAAGAATGAAGGCCAAGAAAACCAAACTATTCTAGACTTTGTTATTACTTAGTAGTACTCATCAAATGAATGTCGCCTTGATTAAACAGTGCTTTGACATCTGGAGACGTTCTGTCGTCAGATGGATTGATATTTACTCAAAGATGAACACATTTGTCACTAAGTCAAATTGAGAACATATTGTTTATTCAGTCTTACAATGAAGGTGTTTGTATTGTAAATTAAAAAGAATAGACATATTCAGGTCGCAATAAAGTTTCACCACCAAACTAACAAATTTAAAATATTATCTGTTGTTTGTGTGTCTGGATCCAGACACACCAATAGCAGCTAATATTTTAAATTTGTTAGTTTGGTAGTTAGAACTTTATTTCGACGTGAATATGTCTAGTCTTTTTAATTTACAATATAAACACCTCCGTTGTAAATAAATTATTTATATTAAATGTAAACATAGATTATCTAGGTCAAATAAAAATCTTATCTTTTTCGTAAAATAATATTGTATGAATGAAATAATCAAATACATAGAAATAAATATCTGCTTTCAGTATCATAAGAATTCAAACAAAATATATTTTATATCAATGCAAAATAAAAGTGAAGGCTTATCTTAGAAACATGATAAGAAATAACTGTGAAATACATCATCTGCTACTATGACAAAGCAAAGAACAATAAAAAAAAACTGATTTGTTTAGATGTACTTTTTACCATACGTCATACGATAACACAACAGAAAGAAAAGAACGAAAAGAATAGCAAAATAAACGTTATCAATATGTGACTATTTTCTCTAGGTTAGTTTGGAACTATTGAAAACGAAAATTTACTTTTCGTCATTATTTAACACTAAAATTATAAATGAAACATTGAATGTTCAAGTCAACACACTAATAAATACTATTTAACGTTTTCAGGACGAGATTCTTTTTGTCAAGCAAAATAATGAAACACAGAATTAATTAAAGTGAATTACTTTTTCTTTCTAATCAACATTATTGATCTGTCAAAGACTGCTACGGCTCATATATATATGTTGTCCATACGAAGCCATAAAACAGTACCAAGTACATAAATGATAATTAGTAGAAATCTCTGAACTTCAACTATTTCAGGACGAAAGACGCATATATGCGTTTCCCGTCCTGAAAGAGTTAAGCTGCAGAAAAAAAATCGATAAAATTATTGATCGATTTTTTTTTATCTTTAGAAGACACCAATTGTTACAACTTGATTTCATGGTAAAATAGCTGTTGCCACTAGAGCTGATTCGGTCATAGGGCGAGCTGTTGTGATTTTACGTCTTGTCGAGAAAGGTGCTTGCGTTCTTGATATTGATCTTAATGAAACTAGATTAAAAGTAACTATACAATCATCATGTCATCCACAATATATTTCAATAGATGTTATGTCTGTTAGAGCTGAAGAAAAAAATCATCGAAAAAGTTAATAAATATATTACTCGTCAAGGTCGTCTTGATGTTTTTGTTAATGTAGCTGATATACTACGTACAAGTTCCACAGTAGATATTCCAGTAGAAGAATTTCGTTCAATTCTCGATACAAATATTATTGATACATTTTTTGATATGTCGTACTTGTCTTCCTCATTCGGTCATTACAAAAGGTAATATTATAAATACAACTTCAGCAGCCACTTTACATGGTCATCCTTTTATGTCAACACATGCAGCAAATAAAGGAGCTATTGTTGCATTTACAAAATCTCTTGCATGCGAATATCTTCTTCAAGATGTACGCATGAATGTAATAGCACCAGTTGGTATTGATACTCCTATGAATAAAAATGTTTGATTACCATTAAATACAAATAATCATTTATTTGATAATGTCCAATGGATGATTTGGCAAAACAGAAGATGTAGCTGATGTCATAGCTATGCTTGTATCTCAAGATAGATGTTTTATTAATAGTGATATTATTCGAATTGATGATGGTGTTCATAGTTGCTGTTCTTTTTTTACGCTGAAGAGAATAACGTTAATAATATCTAGTGTCGTATCATAAATCATCTATTTACTCTTAGTAAAAAAATTTTGCAAAACTAAATAATAATTTTCAAACTATTATATTATTAAAGTTTGTCTATTTGAAGTTGATGTACCATTGGTTTTCCACTAAAAAAATTGAGTAAATTATCCACACATATTTGTGCCATTTGATGACGTGCATATTCATCAGCACTACCAATATGTGGAAATATCGTACAGTTCTCAAGTGTTAAAAGAGGATGATCTGTAGGCAATGGTTCAGGTACAGTAACATCCAAACCTATAGATAATTATAAATATTACACTGAAGGATGGTCGAAAAGTTTCAACCTCTCTCACTAGATCGATGACAAACATAAATATGATTAATTGATCAAAATATATAATTTTACAGAGGAAGACTCGAGCTATCATCTGAAAAAAAAACACTTCGAAATGCATAAACGTATCACAATATTATTGTCACCATACAGTTTTTAAGAAAAATTATAAAAAAAATTTTTTGTTACAGTCATATTGTTTTTTCTGTTCACCGAGTTTTTTTTATCAAAGGTATCATTCTAATGGAATAATATATAATATTTCATTATGGAATATTTTTTGTTGTATTTATGTAAATGAGATCAAGCAATAAAATGTTGTATCCAATCAATGTGAAGATTTACATAATTATAAATCATCTTCTGGTACTAATTCGCTAAGCATAGTCGTAGTTGTCAAAATAAAAAAAACAACAGTTTCCAATGCTCAAGTAAGTATCAATCATTTTTATGCATCTTGAAACAATGAACCATCTATTCCAGATAGAATTGAGCAGAATATTAAAATGGGTTATGATGAATTTGCAGTACGTGACCGCTAAATATTCAATATTTTAAAAATCTTGCACAAATAATTTCTAATGCTGGTTGATACTTAACTATAGGGAGCTATGAACTAGAGCCCATCGGGTCTGAACCTAAAAATTTCGAGTCTATCGGGTCCAGATCCAAAAAAATTTTACTGGCCAGCCCCACTTCCAAAAATTCTTGGACCCGCAGCTCTCTAACTGATAGTCTTATTTTATGAAGTTTACTGCTTACAATTTATTCTCTAATATACCAACTGCTTCAATTTATCTTTCCAACAACCTCTATTAAAACCACCTCCAGTATTCATTTCAAAGTCAAATAGATGATATATGATCAATAGAAAATTTATGAGATATTCTTCCACGAGACTTATGTAAATATGAATATGTTAAATAAAAAATAAATCATATATGAGAAAACTTCAATGTAGAAAAATGTGAGGAAACCATTAACAGTATTCCGAACAGATTAAAAGTAATCGTTTAGAAAACAAAATCAACACATCACTAAATTTGATTTTTGAGATATATATAAAATGTCAATCTAATAAACTTAAAAATCATTTAGATCTTTGAAGAAATTTGTTTTTTTGTCTCAAAAGTTTAAGATGAAAATATTTACTCAAGATTTGTAAAATGACTATAACATTGTATTACATGTATGCCATAGATGTTCATCACAATTGAAAATATGCCACTGCCGCGCCACCATGCTCATCTATAATGTATGCATTTCAAAGTATCTGTTTTTCAATTATTAGCTCTAATCTTGCTTTACAAAATTACATACTTCGATCATTTAACCATATACAGATTTGTCATAAATATCATCGATTTACTGAGAGAAGTCAAAACTTTTCGACTATTCTTTATTAATAAAAAGATTCTTTACCTGCTGCTCGAATTTGACCATTTTTTAATGCATCATAAAGTGCATCTTGATCAACAATACCTCCTCGTGCAATATTAATTAAAATTGCATCATTTTTCATTTGTTCAAATGCTTTTTTATTAAACATATTTGCTGTTTTTTCATTTAATGCACATGCAATAATAACAAAATCAGATTCATGTAATAATTCTTCAAACTGAACAAATTTAAATAATTTTTTATCCTTATCAGAATCAAAATATTTTTCACGTGTACCACTATAAAGTATACGTTGAATAGAAAATGGTTGTAAACGACGTGCAATTGCTAAACCAATACGACCTAAACCAACAATACCAATTGTTGAATTAATTAAAGGTTTACCACACATCCACATCATATCTGATGATGTACCCCATTCACCATTCTATTTAAAAGTTATCAATGAAAACAAAAATAAAAATTAATCTTCCTTGTTATGATGTCTTACACGAACTGTTCGCATCGCTTCAGCAATTCTTCTTGATGTTGCTAATAATAATGTAATAGCTGAATCAGCTGTTGTATCTGTTAATACACCTAAAGATTTCGGAATATGATTTAATAATCTATTTTAAAATGATGATTATTCTATTCTACCTGGTGTATATCCAATAGGTATACCTCTTTTTTTACATTCTTTTAAATCAATATGATTATATCCAACTGAAAAAGCGGCTAACATTTTAAGTTTATCACCTGCTGCTGATATTACTTCTTTATCAATTTTTGCTGTTGCTGGAAAAAGTATGGCATTAGGTGGATTAGCACGAATACGAGATAAAATTTGTTCATGAGATAAACATGCCGGTATATCTTGATAATCCAGATCAAATACACGTTTAAGTGAACGAATAAACTGTGAAGACATTTGAAAAGTTATAAATAGACGTGGTCGAATAATAGAAGTCATTGTCTAAATATGAACAATTGTTTCTATTTCAAGTATATTTTTTACACATAAAAATTGTGTTTTTTTTTTTCGTTTTTATGAACAAGAAAAAAGACAAATGTAAAAACAAGAAGAAAAAAAGAATGTCAAGACAAGAAGAGTTAATATTAAGCATTTGTGATCGGTTTAAATCGTTCAGTGCGTTTAAGTTTTTGTTCCTAAATAATACCAAAATTTTGTATATTGAATAATAGAAAAAATTGTATTCATACATTTATTGTAGTTGCTTTAGCTGCTTGAGATATATTACCAAAACGTTGAGCTCTTTTTTTAATAGTATCAGATAAAACTGGAGTAGTTGATGCAGATTTTCCAGCAGTACTATTATTATTAGTCTAAAATATAGAATATTTGAAAATATTAATTTATAAATTTCGTTGTTTGAAAGAGAAGAACTCTGAACAAAAATGAAATTGATATTGAGACCGAAAAACATCACAGGACGCAAGGCCGCAAAGATAATATTTGAGTCCTGTAGGTAGAGCTCAATGGGTCCGAGTCTAAAAATTTTGAGTCGACTGGATCCGGACCGAGAGGTTTTTAGACCCAATGGGCTCTTCCCACAAAAGACTGATCAATCAAATTCGAATCGAAAACTTTGATCGACTGGACCCAGATCCAAAAATTCTGGGGTCCTATGGGCTCTACTGTGGGACACTCAAGTCATCTAATTGACCGCGATCCAATGAAGTTCTGATCTAGTAGTGGAACTCATTGTAGTTTTCCATTATCATTAACAGTAGCTAGAAAAAAAAATGTCATACCAGCGACTAGTTCTTCAAAGAAAAATTTATTTAGACCACGAGAAAGTTTCTCCAGGTATCAAATCGCTTTTTTGATCGAGATGATGTTCATTCGATAGGTATTTGTGAGTTATAAAAAAGTCTAGAATGCTTTGATTGTCCAGATCTTGATTCTTGAAATATCGAAGTTTTACTGGATTTTTCAAGAAAAAGTTGTAGTATCCCTAAGGTCATGTGGAAAATCGACTTTCGAGTTCCGTCTTTAAATCTTGTATTAACAAAGTTCTTAATCAGATTAGTAATTGTACAAGGTTTAGTTTTCCTAGTATTTTCTTTCTAGAGATATAAATTTAATTTTATACATGAGTGAATCTCGAATGTTGAATATCTCGAGAAAGAAGATAGCTGCTAGAAAATCTACAACCTAATCAATTAAGTAATCTCATTAAGAACTTTGTTCGTGCGACGTTTCAAGTCGAAACTCAAATGTGAATTTTGCGCGTGACCTAAGAACAGTCATAAGTCATTGTCGAAAAATGCAGTAAAATTTCGCTAGCTCAAGAATGAAGGTCCGGAAAACCAAACCATTCTAAACTTTTTTATTACTAACTAGCGCTTATCAAATGAACATCGTTTTGATCGAATATTGATTTGACATCTGAAAAGGTTCTTCAGTCAGCTGGATTGATGTTTATTGAATATTATATCGGACATTACAGCTTATATACAGACAAGCTTTTATCCTTGTCAAAAATAGAATGAAGCGATAGTTTTGTAGATCGGACGCAGGAGAACCCTTTGTGTCCTGTAAAGCAAAATGACTAAATGATAATGTTTTGCAGAATATAGGACAGAACGAAGAAAACTGTTCTGTGACATTCTCTAGTTACGACAGATTTTAAACTGACCTATTCAAAGTATTACTATCTCGGTTTCAGTTCTACGTGACACATAATAAAAGCTATTAAATGTACCTAGATTGTTAGTATCAAGTCAAACAAACTTCTCAATTTAGAATTTATAGTTTTGACTTTGAATAATTAGCTGTTAATAAGTGACTGGTTTAGATTATTATCACAAAACGAGATCAGGAGTTATATTTCTTTGTCTCCATCATCAATAGGTTATCTAATGTTCTAATGACGAAACCCATTTATAATCAACAAAAGCATTCTATTCAATGCCACTCAAATGATTTCTTACTGTAGATGGTGTAACAACACCAAAACGATCCATACGTTTTTTCTTTGTTTCTTCATCGACTGTTGATGTGGAATTAATTAAATGAAAACGATCAGCTCGTAGACGTTTTTTTTGTTGTTCATCTTCCTACAACAAACAATTAAAAAATTATTTCAATAAACAAAAAATCTTCTCAAATTCATACTGCTGAATGAGGAACAGCTCCAAATCTTTCTAAACGTCGTTTTTTAGCTGTACCATCAATTGCTTCCTTAAGAATAAAGAAAAAGACAAAATAACACAGACAATCTTTATATTTTTTTTTGTTAACATACATGTGATGTACCAAAACGTAATGCGCGAGAAATTTTTTTTGCTTCAGGTGCTATTTTTCCAAAACGGTCAAGACGTTGTTTAAATTTCTATTAAAATTTAAAAAAAAATTTAGAACATTTTTATCTTCTTTAAATAAAAAACTTTACATCAACGGCTGCTCCTTCTTCATTTTGATTATCTGCACTTATTACACCATTATTCAATTCAAATTCACTTTAAAAAAAACAAAGCAAAAGTTTTAAAAAAATGTTCAAATAATTTTTTTTGTTTTTTACTTACGTTAATGTTTCAGCAATTTCTTTTATGTTTTCAACAGGTAATTTTGGTTCAGTAATTTTATTTGTTGCCATTTCAATACTAAATATTCTTAAAAATACATTAGCAAGTTGATGAAAGATAATGTAAATCAATGTACCCTTTATTTACACCAATAAGAAAGATATTACAACGAGAAATGATTTGTTTGTTATTAACCAATTGAAATTTAATAAGTATTTTGTTGTAGAAGAATCGGTAGTGAATGGATTTCTTTTTTTTTTACATTTATTAATATATTAATAGACCGAAATTTCTTTTTTTAAGATGTGGAAACATTACAAATTTGATCCTAATTCTGTAAATTTTTCATGTGATACGGATAAAAAGTTAAATGAAGTAAGATTTATAATTATTTAAAAAAGAAGAAATATAATCAAATGAAATAATATAATCTATTTGATTGACATTGGAAATTGAAATAGAATCGAGCATAGTCGACCCAATTCGATTGAATAGCGACCTCTTTACTTGCTATCAAACATGCGCGAGAACGCTAATTCCTTTATAAGACTTAGACTATCAATGTTAGAGCTCTGCGGTTCCAAAAAAATTGGAACCGAGGATCGGATTTTTTTGTTTCTCTTACCCGGAACCGTGAAGTAAAAGCCGGTAGAACCGAAACCGTTAGAAACCGAACTTTTTCTTAAGGGTGAGAGTTTCAAGATGTGCGAATGTTGCAAGATGCGCATTATACCAGTACCTTCCTTCATTTATTCATGAAAAGTTTTCGTAGTAATCCTGGTTTTCAAGAAAAAGCTCTTAAGTTAGTTAAAACGAAAATTATTAAACGGCAATGAACAATACTATCTACTACATTTACAACGACTACCCTACGATCCGTCCATACAGATTCACTTGATTCTCAATCGACAATATCAAAAGGTCTTCTTTCATACTGTTTTGATATACTACAAAATTCCTTAATATTGTCAACAACAACGTATGAGTTAGATGAATATATGCCATCAAATGTCCCATTTAGTAGACATGATGATGTTTTATAATCCCGCGACAACAGAATTTAACATTAACGATCTAATTTTCTATAGCTCAAGATTTTTATGCTGTATAAGCATCGAACAACATTGTAGAAAGACTTTTCTCGTCTGCAGAAAACACAAGTGTCGATAAACGCATCAATTTTAGTGCAAAAAATACCCCTATTAAAATTATTTTTCAGAAAAATTTAGCATTATTAAAATCATGTGATAAAAAAAATTGATGAAGTTGATACAATTGAAATGAAAAGAAAGATGATTGAACAGTCATCTTCTACAATTTCCTGTCCTAACTAAATAACAATATATTGCTACAACAATAAAAAAGACGTTTAGAATGAGTAACGAAGATGATATTGTTCTTTGTGATCATGATTATGTAGAGGATAAGGAAATGATGAAGTCGATCTTTTTAGACCTTGTATACTATAAATATTTCATATGAACATATTGTATATTAATGTTTTATATCATTCATTGAGTTTTTTTTTATCTTTTGAAGTAGCTACTTATTTGATGAAGTAATAAACACGAAGAGTTCCGAAGATAAAATGTAGAAATTTCTAAAACCATCCAATGACTCGGTATTTTGTATGTTACGGTAAAATCTTCGGTTCCGAAAAATTTTTAGGAACCGTCGGCTCCGGTTCGGTTCTCGGGTAATGTTAGGAATCGCAGGGTTCTAATCAATGTTCCTCGCTCTCACAAAAAATTATTAGTTTTGTATTGTAGAGAGTCTCCTAGTGTGACTCTATAAACAAAATGTTCCAATAATAAATTTGTTGTTTGTTTATCTTGTGAGGTAAAGCTACTCTATGTGCCTGCTGCATAGAATCAAAGACACAAGGGTTTCAATAAGTATAAGAATGTTTCACAATGCAGATCAAAGCCGAACGGCACTCTACAAGGTGAGATATTTAGGAAAGTTTTGTTTGAGATCGAAGACCGAAATTTTTCTATTTTTGGAATCTTGAGTACAATGTGCAAGCGAGTCTGAGACAGACTAGATAAAAAATATTGGCTTATATTTAATATTTCAGTATTTTATTATGAATGTTCAGTAAATTTTTTATCACATGTTCAGTAATTCTTGTTCAGTAAAAAATTATTTTTTGCTCAGTAAAAAATTCAAGAAGTTCAGTAGATAATTCGAAAAGTTCAGTATTTAATTTATTTTTGTTCAGTTTTTAATAATTTATTTCAGTAAAAAAAATGTAATTAGAACTAACAGAAATTTATTGAACCAACAACGCCTTTTTGGATTTTGTTGGTCTACCACGACGTCTTTTTTCACCAATTGAAATATTTTTAGCAGCAGGTGGTGGTTTGCAATAGTTTAATCGAATTGCCAAACCGACAACATGTTTACACATAAACTTTTTGAAAAATGCTGGACAATTGCACACACTATCCAATCATTGTAATTTATCTTTTGGTAATGTAACACACCAAATATTGAATGCTTTATTTTTATATTGATCAAAAGAGTACCATTTCATTTTCTTCATTACATCAATATCGACGTTTGTAATTTTATACTGATAGTTTGATTTCTTTACTGAAAATTTGTATATAATACTGAACAAATTTTACTGAACATTTACAAAAAAATACTGAACATTTACAAAAAATATTGAGCATTTAATTTGTCGCCTTATACATATATTCTGAAATCTTTAATCTGAAGAATGAAAAGATGAAGACTTCTTTGCCAAGATTTAAGGATTTTGTATCTATCTCATGGTTTAGCTGTTTCGGTGTTTCTTTACTCATGGCTTCGGTTCCAAAAAATTTTAAACACTCAGTTCCCGGTTTCGATTTTTCCTGGGTTGTCGAACTTAATCTTTCTGACAGCAGTACCTACACATACACCCACAATTTATTAATTTACCGAGCAAATATGAGTTACTGAACAAATATGATAGTTACTGAACAAATATGATAGTTACTGAACACTAATTTTTTTACTGAACAAAAAGTAACTTTTTACTGAGCAATAAATTATACTGAGCATTTAGAAAATAATACTGAACATTTACAAAAAAATACTGAGCATTTAATTTGTCGCCAAAAATATTTCATTACTTCTCTCACAGTCTCTATTTGTACGTCTTCCCATTTGAAGAGCAGGATTGATGCACTACGAATTGTGTTAGAGAATAAATGTTGCTTTTGAGTCCAGATTATGTAGATCCAAATGAGCTATGAATATCCTGAAAAGAATTCTTCCCCTTAGCTTATAGTTACGGAGCTACTGTACTTTTATGGTATTTTTTAATTGAATACAGTGACACCAGAAAAAATGATTTTCAAATTTCGACTTGAAACTTTGCATGGAGACAGATCTTAATGAAAATAGTTTTTTTGACAATAATATTTAAGATCTTGTAGCTGTTCCTATTCTAAAATACCACTATGGTAATAGTGTGTCTTTTACATCACTCGCGTAAACCAACAGATTTGATATTCTTATTTCAGCACAGAATGAAATCAAACAATCTAAAACTTTCACAATAAACTATTCACATTAACATCTGTCTCTATGCAAAGTTTCAAGTCAAAATTCGAAAATCATTTTCTTCTAGTGTTCCTACATTCATTTAAAAAATACCACATAAATGCAGTGTATCCATAGTAATGACCTAAGGGAGAGGGTTATTTTCAGGACATTCAAAGTTCATGTGGATCTACATAATGTATATGGTCTCATAAATATAAAACAACTAGTTAAACAAACGTAGTTACAGTTACATTATAAAAAGAAATTATGCAAAAACTACTTATTACAGCTTGATCATTGCTACCGCCTTACATAGCCATGCATATGAAATTTTACAAAAAAAATAAATAAATATGGCATTTCGAAGAAGCTAGATGAACAGAATTCTTAAAACGGAACTGTTTCCATCTAATCATTTACACAGCAAGCAAAATAGAATAATTCTAGCCTTATGAAGATTCATCTCTTTCTGTGTTTTGTGGTTTCACTTGGACCATAATAAAAGTTCTATATGGATTCCGTATCCATGGACCTGGAAATGTATGTTTTTTTTCTGTCCTAAGCAAGGATTAAAGTGATGTCTGTGTTCATAACCAGTCGCAAAACACTGGTTTTTCTGCTTGATTTTTTGAAAAATATATCATTGAATGAGTATTTTTTAAAACTCTTCGAAGTATCAGATTTCAATGAAAATCATAGGTCCTAATAATTGTGAGTGTACTCAGACCACCAGTACCAATCATATTAGCTGCTTTTGCGTAGTTCACAAGTTTCGTTATTTATCAAAGATGATGTCACGAAAATAGTCATCAAATTAAAAACGAAGGAAAAAAGAAAATTGCAACGGAAACTAATATCATTTACTATGACATATTAAAATATACATTTGTATAACAGTTAATACCAATTTAATACATTTAGATTCGGTTCTTTTTTTTTTAAGTACATCATTTTTGAACAAAATACTATGTAGTACAGATGTTTCTATATTGTTTCATTTAGTTTGATACTTTACTACATTCCGAATGGGATCGTGCTGTTACTCAAGATCTTTTCGCATTTCCAATTAATTATCATGCTAACCGACGAATACTTGATGATGGAGATCTACACTATATTATTGAAGTAAATTGTTTATATTGAAAGATTTTAAATAAATTTTTCTTCACATATAGTATAATCGTGATCGACAAGAAAAACGTCGAATAGCATATCCATATGAACATGTAAATGCACCATTTGATAATAATAAATTTAATTTTAATAAAATAAAAGATAAAGAAGTAATTTTAATAAATATTTTTATTTAAAAAAAAATATTTAATTGATATTTAGATTCTTATTTCTTTAGATAATGATGAACAAACAGATAAACATTTAATAATAATTAATAATGCACCTATTCATCCTTATCATGTATTACTTGTACCTGATCGTCAACTTGAACAAACACAAGTAATAAAATAAAATTAGAGATAAAGAGCTACATCAATTTGAATAGATTCTTACTATTGATTGTATTATATTTGGATTTGAATTCGTTGCTGTAAGTGCTCATCCATATATCTTAGCTGGTTTTAATTCACTTTGTGCTTACGCATCCATAAATCATGTAAGACATTTTCTATTTTATTGATTTGTACATTTCGTTTATGTTTTAGTTACATCTTCATGGCATGTATTTTCCTGATCGTTTATTTCTTCAGACAATAGTAAATTTTCTTTTCCTAATTAAAATTCTTTTTTTTTTTGCAAAGTACGATCTAAAACAAGTGCTAAAGTATAGAGACAGAAATTTGGATATACTCTCCCGCCCATGGGCGGCGCAAGGTCAGTTTTATAGGGGTAGCAATAAACTGTTAAAGGAGCTCTGCTTTTTTTCCCTTGTTTAATCCGAGGCTAAAAATTGCTTTCATGAGAACTGAACTTCTCGAATGTACTGTATGCAAAACTCGAGTATTAATTTCTCTAGTAGTACATTAAACCCGCTTTAATTAGTATATGCACTTTTTATCGAGTACATTTACTTCGTCAATTTTAGTGTTCAATCACTATTGAATGTTCACAAATATTTATTAGTAATAGGAAAAAATACATTCTTATTCAAGAATGATATAGAATTGTTTTGTTCATTTTCAAAAAAATGTTTTTCTTTTATCTTTTTTCGATAGAAAAGCAGTTCTAATAGCATCAATATCAATTTCATAATCTCGTTCAAACGAATGTCCCATAATAAATGGCCGATTTTTGTATTTCAGATTTTAATCTTTAAAAATTTTTATTAAAAAACCGAGTATACCACAAGATGCAGTGTGAAGAGCTCTACAATTCACAAAGCAAGACCGATTTTGGTTGTTTAATTTTGATTTTGAAAAAGACAAAATTCTATACGACCACTTTTCGAAGGTGTCAAAAAACCATTTCTTCGTTCTTATTTCATCTGTGTATTTCTTAATATGTTTTCTTTAGAAAAGTATAATACACCCGAACATGCAGCGTGAAAAGATCAACAATCCGCAAAGTAAAGGGTTGTGTAATTTTTGTTTAAAAAAAAGCAAAATTCCGTGAGAATAATTTCCATTGTACCTAAAAGATCATTTTTCTATTCCAATGAACAAATCATTTTTTTCTTATTTCATCGTTTTATCGTATATACCTCAAGATGTAGCGTAAAAATTTCTTCAGTGTACAAAGTAAAGCTTTTTTAATTGTATACTTTTTGTTTTGAAAAGAACCAAGATTCTGTGAGACTGTTCTATGCAGCGTCGAAAATTGATTGGGCAGAATTCCATTTATTTTCAAAAAATATCAAGTATATAATTAAAATAAGCTTTCCTTTGTAGCTGCAGAGATCTTTACGCTGCACCTAGTGCTATTTTCTATGCTTTTTTAAAATGTATTTAAAGATTAAAATATGAAATAGAAAAATTAGCCATCTATCATGGGACACTCGATATATATTGCGGGAAACAGATACATCAGGATAGCAATAAACAATTCTTGAGACTAAAATTCAATCTTCATGTATAAAATACAGAATTACATCGAATATATGTATGCTGAATAAAAAAGTTTTACTCTAGAATATACAGGAAGTGTGAAAAATTAGAGGAAGCAATAAGTTCTTATTGATTCCAATAATTTATTTTAGGGGTTGCAAGTGCTAACTATTGCATTGCTGGCGCGCCGCCTATGCTCCCGCCCATAGGCTATGAGATTATGTGAAGTTGATGAAAATGGAGTTTTTGAATGGTGCTAATCTTTTTTTTTTCTTCAATAATCACTTGTAAAAGTTAATCCAATGAAGATGTTTTCTTTTTACTATTTCATATTATTTAGCTATAGGATTGACAGTTTTCGTTTACCGGATGTTACAATTATCGAAAATAAATGCTACATAAGAAAAGAATGAAACAGGATTTTCAGAGTTTATATAATTTACATCAATTTCGACTCCGTTGAAGTTGGAATTCGTTGCAGGGCTCTAACAGACACCCTCGTAATCGATCACAGACTATGACAGACGTTGTTGCTATATGATCAACAACCATATATGACATATATGTTAAACTTGAAACTTGAATTCAATTGATATTTCAGATTTCAACCACAAAAGCACACACCCCGTATCTCTCTCGATGTAGGTGCCGCGAAGTGATTCACATCGCGTCTCTGTCGATACCGTGTGTCAAACCTGAAAGTTGAATTCAACTAATCAAGATCTCTATGAATATTCACTGGGAGAATGGTAAGCGCTTTTCCCCGCCTAACTAACCTTTCATATTAGCACCACGGCGTGAGACACAAAGCGACTTCGAAGAGCCGCGATCCATGCATGTCTCTGTGTACACTGTTATCGAAGTGTGTCATGTTTGGGCCATGCTAACTACATATTTTCCAGAGCTATTTGACCACGTAACCCATTCGCTTACAGATGCTACCTTACCATTATCACTCAAGCATCTCAGGCGCTTCTTGTAGCGTTCCAAGTAATGACTGTAGTATTCCAGATAGTGCCTGTGGCATCCCAGATAACATCTATAGCATGCCAGGTAATATCTATAGCATTTAAGGTAATACCTGTAGCATTCCATGGGATAGTTATAGCATTCCAGGAACCATTTAGACTCGAAAGGTAAAGCTTAAAACTTGAAATGTCAGTTGGTTTCAAGTTTTACACTACTGGTATATGAATAATGGCTCGTTCTAATAAATAAAGTACTTCCCCTTCTTGCGTTTCTGGAGGATTAAGTAAAATGATGGTGTCCTAAAATACATAGAATAAATCAATCTTCCTTTGATTAGTAATAGCAGCTATGTTGTGTTTTACATTTTAATCCTATAGGGATTGTATTAACAGTTTGTTTTGTCTAAATTAAAATTTTATTTTTTTTAAGAAATGTTCTCCATTTCATACAAACTCAAATTGTTACCTTTTGGATTTGTTTCACGCTGAAGCATTTGCTTTCGAAGTTCAACATATTGATGAATTCAATAGAATTGCTCAGTAAAAAATTCATTTTAAAATTAAAATGATAATCTTAATATTTGTTTAGATATGTATATAAAATAACAAATTATTTAGCTTCAAATAATATTGCTCATAATATGGCAATTGTAAAGGGTGATTCATTTTCATCATCAAATAATGTTTTACGTATATTTGTTTGGTTTCGTCAATCAGTTATTAGTATGTATTTTGAATAATGATCAAAAATTTATTTTAAGATTTAAATATAGAAGCACAAAGATTTGATCGATGTAATTTCGCTTGCCTTGAATTAGCCGGATTTATGACACTTCACTGTAAGAAGTTAAAGAATGAATTTTGTTATAAGGAAAAACAATTATTCTTTTTGTTTTTTTTTTAGATGAAGAAGTTTACAATACTTTGACACAAATGGAATTATTTGAACATTTGAATGAAATAGCATTATCATTGGAAGAACAAAAACGAATTAAAGATCATGTGAAAAATTTATTAGACAATTAGGTTAACAATATACTTACAAAAGATTATTTCCAGTATTTAATAAAATTTGTTAGTTCATATATTAAAAAATAAATTAACGAGTGTTTCATAATAAATTGCCATTTTTTTGTATTTTTTCTTTTTACTCTATTTAGTTCATTTTATTTAAAAATAAAATATAACAAAAGATGTGACATGAAAAGTTCTACAAATTAAAACAAAAGAAGTCTATGGTCTTTTTGATTTCAAAATGAATTTTGAAAAAAAAACAGCAGACTTTTCCACAAAAACTGTGGGTCTATAGAATTGTAATCATGATGCGCATGATATATACTCCTTATTTTTATAGGGTGCGGGTGTTGCCAGTCTTTAGATGTATAATGATGATGCATATAGTATATATCTCTATTTTGATAGGATGTGGATGAGTACTTTCTTTTGACTCATACTCACGACCACCCACATCCTGACAGCCACACCCGCACCCTATAAAAACAGGGGATATATACCATACATATCATCAGCATAATTCTAAAGACCCGCATGTCCCACATTTCAGTTTGAAATTGAGTGTCACTTTTTTCTTCTAGAGTCAGATTGAAATCAAAAGAACCATAGTATAAATAAAAGTCTTATTTTATATCGGCATCCTTTGTTTTTGAAAATAAATAGAGCTCTGTGCGACTAAATTATCGATGCTGCGAACATGATCATATTTTTTAACAAGCGATCAACTCATTTTTGTTTATCTCATCGGTTGAAGGCAATTCTATACACTGATGATAAATACTTTTCATTAGAACGGGTCTCTGCTACAAGTCAACAAGAAGACAGAAGCAAAAAAGCTAAGTATCCAAAAAGAATTATGGTATGATTAAGTGCATCTCTAAAAATGGTCCCACACCTCCAATTATCTTTAAACCATGTGAAACATTATCACATGAAAATTACATTGAAATTGTTCTCCTACATGCACAACTTAAAAGCAAACGGCTTCTAAGTGACAATTTCATCTATCAACAAGACAACGGTACATCACATAAAAATCAGGAATCATTAACATCATGCAAAGAGAATTTTATGTATTTTATAAATAATCCTAGATAGCTACCAAATAGAGTTAGCCTCAATGTTTTGGATTATTACATGTGCTACGCTATTATCAATAATATGCAATGGGATAAAGTTAAAACGTCTGATGTTTTAGTCGGTGAAATAAGTAAATGGAATTCATCGTGTATTAAAAAATTATTACGTTCATAGCATCGAAAATGGTATCGTCCCGTTTCGTCGACAAATATATTTTTTTCCATTTTATTGACAACTTTTTTTTTCATTTGACAGACCTCAATCTAATAATTAAGCATTTGATCGACAAGTTAAGGCTCAATTCATTTAGTACATAATGAGTATGCAGTTTTTAGAAAGATGATAGAACACTGTAGAAGTGAATCACTACTAGTGTTTTATAGCTGATGATCCAAGCGAATAAAGATGTGGGTGGCTATGGGTTAAGAGGAGACCCACACCCACACCCTTTGCTCATTTCGATATATCTTTGGATCGTCATGACTGAGTGCCTACGTTGTTCGGTACGTATCTAATAGATATCATACACCAACCTCGGTACCATGACAAGTTACTAACGGCTGTTTGTCTCGAATCACCCGTTTGACAGCATGCTGACTAAGTTGTGACATACACCTGCTCTCATGACTGTTATATGATTAATTAGGTTGTACGAAGAGTTCAAGTGATTGAACGCAAGAACACGGCGCCAGGCCGGCCGGCCGTGCAGAGCTACAGCTTGTACTAGTTGTAGGAAAGGTACTGGGCTAATGAGTGTGAGTGCCGGTGTACCCACACCTCAATCCATACTGATACCCACATTGAAGCGAAAAACACGATTAGAAAGTCGAATTAACACGTATAATGGATATAATAATAACTTCATTACCGCATCCGATCTCCTCAACGGTTTGTCTTTAATCGTAGCAAAAAATAAGTTATAATTATACAATAAAAATATTGTTTGAGGTCAATAAGCTACTATTTCAAAGTATTTTTGCTGCTCTTTCAGTTATTTTTCTTGTTTAATAATAAACATTTTATTCGAATCTAGATGCTGGGTGTTTTTTTTTCAATGTTCCGAACAAGGAAATATTCAGAAGTCTCTACCTCAGTTTTCAAAATTTTTTCTTTCAATCAAAGTTTAGACAAACATAAATATCATTATAACATGTGTGAATGTGTATTAAGAGAATGATCATCTATCACAACATCGAGTAAATAATCTGTTTGAATAGACACAGATAAAGATGTATTGATTTTGTTCTTAATATGAAATCAATTCTGACTAGTGTGTATTTCAAACATTTATCAAAAAAAAATCAATGATTGATACAATCATCACAAGTTACCTTTTTTTTTTTATTATATGATTGAAACGAAATACAATATCTTCTTTTTTCTTTTGTTAAAACTTACATCATTACACATCTACAGTTTAAGAAAAATATCGCGAAATAAATATGTCGTCAGTTGCATCTGATATTGAATTAAAATCTCAAATTGGACAAAGTGTAGCTGATGATGATATTCCAAATGAATCTTTGGCAAAAAGACAACTTACTTTTCAAACATATAAAAATTTATTCGTTATTTGTGTGGCTTTTCTTCTTCAATTTACTGCATTTCAAGCTATGAGTAATTTACAAAGTTCTTTAAATATCGAAGCTAATGTTGGCGTTAATTCTTTATCAATTATCTATGCATGTCTTATTATTTCATCTATATTTTTACCACATTCAATAATAGCTATGCTCGGTCTGAAATGGACTATTGTCGTCTCTCAAATTCCGTGAGTAATCAGATTTCAATAATATGATTCAACAAATATTTGACTTGATTTAAAGGCATCCTTCTCCTTTCATGATTCAGAAGTTTTTGTTCTCCAGTCTAGAACATCCAACTGAGCTGAAACATTTTTTAGATATACTATATATAACAGTTTGGGATTTTTTGTGGCTGATTCTTTCGTATATTCATGGAAGTAATACAGCAAAAAGGAAAGAGAATCGTGCCAAGAATGACTGATGAACAATGCACGAACAGAAAGAAAATGATGATACAGAGAGCGACTGCTCACAACGCTGAGTGTATGACTGATGAATCTGTCACACTACACACTCTTTGAAATCAACATTTGTTTTTCATAAAATATTCTTCTACTGTTTTTTGGTAGCTCTTACAGAAAAGAACATGTATTTTTAGAATACATTCGATATTTTGGGTTCTTTACTCGAAGGATACAAAAATAGAAAGATGCTCTCCCTAAATAGTGTCGAATGCCCGCAAAAAGGATTTTCAGTTCGATCGAACATAACATCTCGGAGAAACGGAAGCGAAAATTGAGACTATTGTGATCTCAGTATCTCATAGAAGACAGCATCTGAGAATTTGAAGTGTATGACAACTTTTGGTCTACTTGTCAAGATAGTTCTGAACTGAAAATTTCATATTTTTGTCATAAGCCGTTCTCCTCAACTGACACTCATAGCTTAAACTCACATTGAACCCAGAAGAAGGTCTCAGCAAGATTGACAAAAGCCTAGAATAGTTCGTCTCCATGGCCCTTTAGCGCCGAGTTATAACCGGTTTAGTGGATTTTTGACTCCTCGAACAATTAAATACGTAATTTCGAACTAAAACTTTTACTCATTGAGATGTCTAATGACTTCTAGAATATTCTGAAAATTTCAGATAAATAGAACATTCTTGCGTCAAGATGTTGAATTTTCAAAAATGGGCCTTTGCAACAGACATGTCACAAAAATTGAGTTCACTTGAAAAGTCAATAATTCGACAAAGAAACATCTTTTTTTTTTTCGTCTGAAACTTTCAGCGTATTCTTACAACCAATATATATATCTATAGGAAAAAATTTTAGAACGAAGCAGCTTAGATAGTTTTTTGTCAAGATAAAAACAATTTAAACTATATTCTAAAGATTTTTATATGTGAATTTCGTTACGTTTGATATGATCACTGATATCTTCTTTTTTTTAAAGGTATCTTTTATATATAGCAGCAAATTATTATCCAAAAGCATATCTTATGTATCCGGGTAAGAAACGATTTAAACATTTTATTTGTTATCAATTGTTTTTTTTAAAGCTGCTGCACTTGTTGGTTTAGCTGCCGCACCATTATGGACTGCAAAATGTAGTTATTTAACTGATACTGGTGCAATCTATGCTGAAAGTAAACTTATTGATAAAAATGTTATTGTCAATAGATTCTTTGGTTTATTCTTTATGTTTTTTCAATCAGGTTTGTTTATTATTTGTTGTTTTGCTATAGAAGAAAATTCTTTTTTTATAGCACAAATATGGGGAAATTTAATATCATATTTAATACTTAAACCTATGGAAATAAAGACTAATGAAACAAGAACAAATTCAATAAGAAAATATGATAAATGTGGAGCAGATTTTAGTGAACAAGAATATAAACGTGCTAAAGTTATTAATCAAATTGAACCAAAAACGGTAGAAAAAAAATTTCAAAACATAATATTATTATTATTATTTTTTGTTTTTTATATTAGGTTAATATTCTTTGTATTGTTTATATTTGTATATGTATTTGTTCAATATTAATAATAATAAGTTTTCTTAATCAACGACGAAAAGCATCAAAAGGTAAATAAAAGTCAATAAGGAGAAAAACAAAAATTGAAATTTAATTTATTCTTATTTAGATAACATTTCTCTTATGTTTCGTCATTCTATTACATTACTTATTTCAACAATTAAACATTTGCGTCATGCTAAACAATTATTTCTTATTCCATTAACTATTTGGTCAGGTTTAGAACAATCATTTCTTTCAGCACAGTTTACATTAGTAAATAAAAATTAAAGGACTCTGTCGAATAAGATGAATATCCTTCATTTGAAAAGCCATCTATAGTGTTTCGTAGAGCAACTCGTGTCGCATCGAATGGTACATAGACAATTGTTTTTTCATCAAGTTTTAATGTTTTGAGAAGTCATATACCAGTTACAGGACATTATAGCAATTGTAGATGATATGAAGAAATACTAGGACTGAGTACGTCTCCAAACAAACTTATATCAAATTTTGTTTACGGTTACTTCGATAGATTTTTGCCGGGTCTTCAGTTATGTCTATATAATAATACTCACAATAGCTTTCTTCATACCCAAAGCCTTACCATTTCTACTAGGTTCTGTAATTTTTGAGTATTATGATGGTTTAAATTCCTCGATACTGTTCCGGAGGGCAAAGGCGACTAACCGTGGAGTCTTCTAAGCAATTGTGCGCCATAAAACTCTATAAGTATGTCAATTGATTGTCTTCTGAGTTGTTGTGCGTCACGGTCCAATCAATATGTAAACAGAGTCAATTATTCGATTGTTCAGGGCAGAAAAGTATTTACCGCAAAAACTTATATACTCTTCTGTCCTTAGGAATAGAACAATTGACGTTGTTTACGCATTGATTGGACGGTGATGTACAACAATTCATCAGATAATCAATTGGTTTATCTATAGAGCTTGATGAAAGAAAGTTGCACAGTTAGTCAACTTTATCTTCAGGAGCAGTATTGAAGAATTTTTTAAAACATCACCAATTATAGAAATTAGTAAAAATGCTTAAGTTTTATGTATGAAGACAGCTATCGTTAATATTATTATATAGACACAATTGAAGAAACTTTAAACGAAAGTTAATACAAGTTTATTTGAAGACATACTCAGTCCTAATATTTGGTCATGTCACCCACAATTGCTATAACATCCTTTAATTGGTCAAAATATTAAAACCTGATGAAAAAGCAATTTCCTATATACCACTCTATGCGGCCCGAGTTGCTCTACAAATCGGGCTACTCAAATAACGGGTTGTCATCTTATCCGACAATGCCATATTTGATCTTTTTTATTTGCTTTTATTTTAGAGTTTTGTTTCTTGTACATTGAATGCAAAATATGTTGGTTTGATTTTAATTGCATATGGTATTTGTGATTCTATAGGTAGTTTTTGTTTTGGTCAATTAGTAAAATTTATTGGTCGTTGGCCATGTTTTGTTATTGCTGCTATAATAAATTATTCTTTAATAATAACAATGTTTATTTGGAAACCAACAGATAAACAAATATATGTTTTATTTATTTTAGCTGGTCTATGGGGTATAGCTGATGCTGTATGGCAAACACAAATAACTTCATTTTATGGTGTTTTATTTACTGATAAAGATGAAGCTGCATTTTCAAATTATCGTCTTTGGGAATCAAGTGGTTTTGTAATATTTTATATAATAACACCATATATTCGTATAAGAATAGGATTAATTATTTTATTAATATTTTTAACATTAGGTATGATTGGTTATGGTGCAACGGAATATCTATTAATAAAGAAAAAAATCAAGGTGACTGATGAACCCCGTCCTAATTAATTAAACGAAAATCTATTTACTCTTTTTTTTTCCTGTCGATTAAAATAAATAAAAGTGTAGTATAATTTTTTAGAAAGAAAAAATAAATTTTATCTAGTTATCAAAGATTTGCATAAATCAATTTAATGGAAGGAAAGAAGTATTTCAATGCTTGTATACATGCGATTTCAAAATTTGACCAAGGAAAGAAATCCTTACATAGATTGACATTGGAATTTTTTAGCTCAGTGTAGTTCGCCATCGTTCATTGCATATTTGCTTTATAAAGTTAATACCGGAAAGAAATTTAAATTTATTGATTATCATTCACAATTTATTCGTGCAATCTTAGAAACTTGTAGTACTTCAAAATCTACACAATAGGTCATTCTGCATTGATTGATCAATCAACCAGACTTACTGCTAGATATTTTTTATCTCTTATACATCAAAGAACAAATAGAAAAACTCCTTAGAAAATTTATGTTATACATGCATATACACTAGC